TATGTAAATAAAATTTATATTTAAATTAGCCATGTTAGTCCGTGTCCTAATTTTTTAGAATTTGATGTGTTAGCGTATTCATGCCGTCCCATGTCCATGTCCCGTGATTATTCTGCATTTCATGCTGAGGTCCAGCCGACAAAGCGGCAGCAAGCGCAGGATTTTTTATGCAGTAAGCTTGACATATTTCATGCTCTGTGCTGCGACGTTCGATGCTACATACTTTGCTGCAGTTTCACTCATGTTGTAGCTCACTCTGGATCAAGTATCTGGCATTTTTGCAACTGTAGCTTCTTATAGTGGTCCTTTTCTAGCATCCCAAGTTTGATTGTTCTTATTTTTACATGGAAACTATGAACTTCTGACATGTTATTTTCTACGTTGGTACCTAGTGCTGTTTGGGAAAAAAGGATGATTAGGGTATGTTTTTAACTACACAAGGAAGAGCATTGTGATGATTGTCAGTGTCTGACAGGACAAACAAGCTCTCTTGATAGCAATCATTTCTAGTTGAGGAGATCACCGAGTGTCACCTTAAACAGTGTCTCCACCTTCCAAACAGGTGATTGATGCTTCATTCCTAATTGAGACAAGCTGAGTACATGCATGTGTCTTACATTATAAATACATTTAAAATAAAATTTTCCTGTTGAAGAGGGTTGTCACAAAGATAATTATAAATTATCACCACCAGAATATAGTTTATTAGCAAACTCAGAAACCTGCGGGTGATTCTTCAGTTATTCCTAGTTGTGAGTTGATGAGATCTGATGATATGTTCATCAATATTGTGACAATAGTGTGAATCTCTACATTCTTGTCTACGGGTTGTAATTGCTTACATTACTTAGAATCAATAACGTGAAGCGTGGTGCACATGATCGGGATAGGAGCTGTACTCCTTTCATGGGGTTCCACTAAGGACCAGCATAGGTCCTCAATCAAACTAGTTAGTTCTAGTTTTTATTTTATTTTATTTTATTTTATTTATTATTATTATTATTTTTTGCTCTTGATAATAATTTTCACATCTTTTGAATTTTTTGATTATGATGAAGTCCACCTGCGATTTATTTGATAGGTCCTCTCTCTCTCTCTGAGGTGGTGTGGACGAAACCTGGAAGTAGAAATTTGATTTTGTGAATATTTGTAAATTGACCATGGTTGTAATTTTTGCTGGAGATTGTATTCTGATTTTTCATTGAAGAATTAGCATTGGTGTTTCTAGTTATGTTGGGGACTTGTACCTCCATTCAATATTCACCATCAATCCCGATAAAGTTTATAAAAATGTCCATGAGAAGGCTTAACAAATCTGCTGGGATTCTTCAGGTTATAGGTGTTCCACGCTCAGGGACGCATCTGAGAGCACATGTGATGTCGGGAAGTGGGGTCATGCTAAAAAACTTCAAATCCAGGTTTAGGAGAAAACGGCGTTTTCTTGTCTTCCCAGGACTGGACTATGATAGAAAAGGCCTACTAATCGTTGAAGTCAAGAATAAAATAGGCCAGGTTTGTTTGGTACTTGTAAATATTTCAACTGTGGAGTGGTTCACTGATAATTTTATTTTTGAACTCAACCATCACCACTAAGTAGTAAGTAGTTAAGTTGTGATGTTATTGTGCACTGTATCTTGAAGCCCAACTAATGTTACACCCTGACCAAAATATGTTGATTGCAAGAACAGCTAGACCAGTAAAATGTTGACATTAAGGCTATGTTTGGTTGCACTAAATTAGAATTGGATTGGGATTGCATTGGAATTTCAATTTCATGGTATTGCAATCCCATCAATCCCATCCTAAATTAATTGTTTGGATAAGCTTTGGAATTCAAGTGAAATTGAATTCCAATTCTAGATTTTTTGTTTGGATAGATTATTGATTTGAAATTGAGTTAAAAATGATTAAGTAGTGTAAACACATATGTATATAAATATATGTATGTAAATATGGGGAAAGCTAACATCCCCACCTTCATGGATGATAAGCTTGTCCCCATTTTTAAATAGACATATATGCCCTTAATACAACAATATAACCACCTTGTGGTAAAAGACATTTTAGTCAATTTACAATTTCACATCAATTGTCCCTTTTTTAAGACACAATCACCCCCAACATCAACGACACCATCACACTAGGCGTTGTGCTCCCCACCACTACAACAATTGGCAGCGACAGCAGCACCACCACCACCACCGGCGGCTCCACTACCACCACAATGGATGCTCCCGTTGCCACCATTCCCACCATTATAACCACCACCACCACTGCCATCCTCCCCTCCACAATCATTGTGTATTCCGATGAACAATAGCGCCACTGCCACCACAATCGCCGGCAGCAGAGCCACCATCCCCATCTCCATCCCTATAACCGTCGCCAACATTCTCACCCCCACAACCACCACCGTCCCCACCTCAACAACCTCTATTCTGGCCAATGAATCTCGTAGCCGAAGTTTTCGTGCTCGGCGACGGTGACGAGATTGGAATTGCCGACTGCGGCAATGGCTGCTGTCAGTCTCGGCATGACAGCGGCGACGTGCTTTTGTTAGGGTTAGGAGAGAGTGTGAACCAGAGGAGAGATATGTGCACGAGAGAGAGAAGTTTGAAGAGATGAGAAATTACAGAATCCAATCCCATGTTGATTTGGTGTTCCAAATCTCTGGTCAGAGCATTGAAGTCAAGTTGTGTCATTGGGATTATAATTCAATCCCAAATCCTTCTTACTTGATAGTATCCAAACAGCAAATTTGGGATTGGAGCTCCCAATTCCAATTCCAAAGCTCCAATACGGTGCTGCCAAACATACCCTAATTGAATTCCAGTAGGGATTCATAACTTGCCCTATTTTAATGTATGGAAATCCAAAGCCAGGTCCAACTAGAACAAATTTAGCGTTAACCACCTACCCTTTTATGGTTTTGTTGTGGCTGCTTCATTTACAAACCAAGTAGTGAATTTGTCAACCCAATTGGAAAGTCAGAAAGGGAAAAAATAGTGGGTTCATCAACTTTGCAAAATTTGGAGGGGAACAAAGAGCACTCAGATTTCTCTTTCCCAGAATCACCCCGAAGTGTAGTTGTCAGGCGCTTTATGCGTGTTGAGATCTACATTCTCTTTGATGCAACTACAGACGTAAGAAATAAAAGAAGAAATAGATATAGACTTAGAGGGTTGCATAACATGTTAATTGAATGCTTGAATGCTTATGTGACCATTTGATATTCCTCTTTCTTTGTAGTATGATAAGAAGTTATTGGCAGTGGATACTCCCATGGCAACAGGACCTGATCAGTGTCTATTCCTGATTGACATGAAGAAGAATACAGGATCGTTTGTGGACAGATTTCTGAACCAAGAGATCCGGTTTCAAAAGCAATGGCAACAATGAAGGAGTTTCAAGATCAAGACGAAATGGAGGACGGGGAGGATGTTGAAAGAGAAGATAAAGAAGACACCATGAAGAAATTGAAAAGCTTGCAGCAATCATTGCATAAGAGTTTGTTTGTGTGATCTGTTCTTTTCCATTTTCGGTTTTTCACTGGAGTTTTTGTAAGGGTTCCTCAGGCCTTGACGACAACCACCCAAAGGGCAAAGATAAATATTACTGCTGTAAGGACACCATGCATCTGTATCAAGTTTCATGGGGTTTATATTACTTTGTTGTATAGCTGATGTTTTGATATTAGATTTCTACACTGATAACTTTGAGATGTGTGCACAACCAAGACAAATCTGAGACGCCCTTGACACACTTGACTATATAAATTTCGTTTTGCTGATGTTCATGCACCCTTGTTCTAAAAATTATCTGGGAATTTCTGCTATGTACCGCTTCCACCCTGCAGGGATATGAAACCAACTTTTTGGAAGAATGATGACTCAGATGGCTCTTGAAAACCTAGGGCCTTGCTTGGTTCGATTCTATAGAGAACAATTTTTATCAGATAAGAGAAAATAGTTCACTTCAGAATGAAAAATTCATTTGGTTGACAGTTCTCTGGAAATGCATTTTAGACTCTCTCTGAAAAGCTCTGAGACTACTTTCCTGGATGGAGTCCTTAATCTGTTGAGACTCGAGATGCATTCTTTCTGTCAATGATGAATATATTTCTCTGTGACATGGAAGTTAGTCATTCTAGCGATTGTGATTTTGTTTGTTTTAAGGATTAAACTGCATATGTTGGGAATATTCAACTGCATGCATGTCGAGTAAGTTTACCATTCCATTAGTCATTTCACTTTCATTCTTCCTTGGACTCTGCTATTTTAGACCCCGAGCATCCGTCATCATTTTTACATTGCATGCAGGCCACAAATATTACTGATCTCACAGTCATAATTTTCTAATTGCCGACAGAGAAGGGAGAACCTCTGGCTCTATTTTTCAAGTCCAAGCCACTGGTAATTTAGTTCAACACCTGAACTTTGACAAATCATAGCAATTTGGCAGCAACTAACAAACACTTTGCAGATTGGACTTGCCAAGCGTAATTCATCGTTTAAGCCCAAGTATGGCACAATCAATTGGAAAAAGAAGCGTCACATTTTGTGAGTCATGTTCTAGGTTACGGATTTTCACAGATCCTGGATGAACCATAGTCCAGGCCTACTTCATATTCATTACTAACAAGATAGATGTCTAGGGAAAGCTCAAAAGCACACACCAGCTCGATCAATTCTTAGGACTTAGCCCTTCAATAAACTGCTATAAACTATCCATTCCAACAAACAGACTAGTTTGTTCCAAAGCAATTGCAGTCAAAGCTAAAAGACTTTGTTGTTATTCCTGTAGACTACTGAAACGGAGGATAGAAAAAAGGACATAGCATGGATTGAAGCTGAATGAAAAACGCTTCACTGGAGCCAAAACCAAAAAATGTACATTCGATGCATGCACGACGTAGGAGATGCATCATCTGTGATGAATGCACATACATATTTGGCTTAACAGCAGTATCAATTTCAATGTAGACATTTTAAAGACTGGTCTACAAAACAAGAGTAAAGTTCATTTTGTTGGTTGGGCTTTGCGCTTAAATGTCTCAAGAAACAATCTTAATAAAAAAAATTTAACAGATAGTACTTGCCGAGATAAGCAGTTCATTGTACAACCACAAATTCACAACAGGAAGAGGTCAAAGTACTTCACTCTGCAACCAACAGCAAGGATACTCGTATGTTTCCCAGCAATGCTGGATAAGATAGAAAATAATTCATCCTTTAGCTTGACTTTGATGTTAACAAAAGCAATTTGGAACCGTTACATGTCTTGACTCCTCCAATGCTCATTAATTTATTGTCGAGATATGGACCGATCACAAAAAAGGAGTGGTTGCGGAGTTTGACTGGAAAGAGCAGAGAAGAGTAAGCCAAATCTCACTAAAAATGGAGAGAGATAGAGAGAGAGAGAGAGAGTACCGATGATAACTGGCCAGCAGTTATGTGACTGAAATTGCTTTATAGCCTTGCTTCTCAAGAACCTCGGCTATGGATATGTCTCCTGTCCTTACAATTCTCCCATCCTCCTAGAAATTAATGGATTATTCACCAAGAAATTTAAAAGAATGAAGACAGATAAAGAATATCCAACATGCTCAAAATATTTATAGCAACAAGAAAGACCCAGTAGTTTAGAAGCTAAGAAAAAAAAAAAGGTTTAGAAGCTAAAATCAAACAAATGAGAAACATAATGTTATATTCTTCATAGGTCAGACTCCACCTTAAGGCAATTAAGGTGATCGCCTAAGGACCCACATGGAGAAAAAGGCCCCATTATCGTGGGTCCCTGTATATTACTTGCAGGTTTCCGTTGTTGTTTCATAATTAACTATCAGCTCCAACTATTAATATATTAAACAAAGAAAAATCCGAGTTCGGCTCAAGGCCCACAATTTAATTTTGTTTTATTTTACTTATTATTATTATTATTATTTTATTTTATTTTTTTTGGAGGGGGGAGGAAGCAATTGAAGGAGAACCCATGTTAACACAACAAATAACCACCAACTCTGAACAGATTCCACATATTTAAATCAAAAGGCAAAAAAGATCAAACTTATACTCCAATTTTTATCAAAGTTATCAAACACAACAGGAGGCTGTTGCCTTATGCATGTAACCAAGGGTAGATACGGCATGCCTCTAGGAAGTCAAAAGTTTAAAACACAAATCCAACACCCCAAGAAGAGCCAGCAAAATGATAGTATAATAGTTAACAAGTTCATCGGTAGCATCCTAGATATAACTCAAATTACAGTAGCTGATTGCCTCATTTCAAATGTAATTGTAAACTGAATCAACTACAATTTTTTGAAAGTTGCCATACCCGTGATGCATTTCTTTCTAAGATTCCATATATATTATCATGCGTTTCTTCCTTCTCCTTTTTGATCAAAAAGATAGAATATAAATAATTTGCTTACCATAATATGGATGTAGGTGGGCTTTATGAATTCCAAAAGTCGTAAATAATGAGTAATCATCAAAACCGAATTCTTTGGAGTCAAAATCCCATTCACTGCTTTTGCTACATCTCGGAGTGCATCAACATCTAAACCAGAATCAATTTCGTCTAATATAGCCAAGTCTGCCCCCAGAACCTGTGGTACAGAGGAGCAAAGTTAAATATAAAAAAGGGACAGTTTTGGAGCAGTTGGATTTATTGCGATCTTAGCACTTGTAAGTCAAAAAGCACCATAACTGCAGAAGAAGACACAATATTGTGTTGCAAAGAAAAGGAAAATCATGCAGCAGAAAACTCTACAGCACAGTATACCAGATTCAACTCTCTTTAGACCATAACAAATTGGAGACTACAAATAGCAAAACATGATGAAACATTTAGAAAACAAATAAACTAACATGTTCTTAAATAGATTCACTTAGATAATTGTATGACTGCCGTATGGAGAGAGAGGCTAATAGAATTTTCTGAATCCCTCTTTCTTTTTTTTTCTTTCTTTTTTCCCCCCTTTCTCCAATTTAGAATTTACAAACTGAACGAACAGTGCCTAATTCAATGCGCCATGGATCAACAACAGAAATCCTACACAGCTGTTTTAGTTTTTTCACAACCAAATTTTTAAAACTTAAAACACGAATTTCAACATCATCCGCTAAATCTACGCATGTTTTCACCCTTGAGTTCCTATTCTGCTTCTGAACTGGTAAATTGCCATCTAAGGTATAAATTTAACTTCCCAAGACATGGGGCACAAACTCTAAATCCAAGAATCCCAAGCATTATCTGACCCACCTGACCTATTAATGTAAATTGGTTTGCGGCATATTTTTCTTTCTATACGAAAAGATGAAAAAATTGAAATTCTGCTGCCTACCAGGTCTTGGAACCCATATTAGATAATTCTGTTGTGAATCATGTAATCTCGATTACCCATGACAGTCCTCCAAAATTTACACCATGCACATACTGAGGCAAGGACAACCTTTTTCCCACCCAGCAAACTCCATTATATATTCTAATGGCACAGTACATTGATGAAAAAAAAGAATACAACTTTTTGGATCAGAATGGTGCTAGAAAGCAAACACAACTAGTATTAATCCATACCGCAAGTTGTAAAATCTCATTGCGCTTCCTTTCACCTCCACTAAATCCTTCATTAACATTTCTATTTAAGAAGTCTATCTTCATGTTCACAAGTTCAAGCTTGGGAGAGATGTAGCCGTAGAACTGCAAGGACAAATCTTATCAGCAACTTAACAAAACAAATGAGAACCCAAACTTTGACCAAATTTCTCAAAGCAAAAGGTATTTCTGATTCCTCCACCCAAAAACAGAAAAACAAAAAAGAAATGGAAGAAGAAGAATAAGAAAGAAAGAAAAATGGAAGCTACTGATAGAAAAAAACAGTTCTTGTTGCATACTCGCACCGATAAAAGGAAACAATTAGAATGACAAATTATTTGAATAAAAAACAAATATCAGAGAAATAAATGAGACTAGGTTACCACAACTTGCTTTTAGTGTCAATAATAGAAGGATACACAGGAAAAAAAAAATAGGATGATCACAACCATAGTCAGTGCTATTATCTAATGTTTCTTGGATTAAGCGACTGAGTTCAAGATCATATCCCAAGGGTAACTTAACAGAATACTTATGATCATAAGCATGGAGGTTATTTGAAATATATCACATCCCAAAGAGAAATGGGTTGAGACTAGGGAGCAAGGAGGGTGTACAGTTTTGGATCTTGTAGCCTCTCCATTTTTGTTTTTCTTGTCTTAGTATGTTGCCCCTTGAAAGATTCCTTTCCCTTCCTCACATAGTCACCTTGTATCTCAAGCCTATTATTATTATTTTCATATTAGTTCTCATTTCCCAGTAAGAAAAAGAAAGAGATAAATGTGAAATAATACATGTTATACCTGTCCCGCTATAAGATGAAATTTTAAGTTTCAAATGGTATATACCTCAATTGGTCCAAGCTCCGGCAGACAAAGTTTTCTTCTTCGAGCATTATATGCCATATTAAGAAAGTCAATATTGCTGACACCTGGGATCTCAACCGGGGACTGGAAGCTCATAAAAATCCCAGCAATAGCCCTTTCCTCTGGATCCATGTCAAGCAAGTTCTCGCCTTTAAATACAACACTACCTCCTGTAACTTCGTAATCTGGATGGCCAACCAAAACCTACAATTACAAGCGCCTCACTGAGAATTGGTCAATTATTATGGAATTCCCGTGGTACTTCATCTAGAAAAAGATAAGAAAATTGTAAAAATAATAATAATCACACTTTTAAATGTTAAAGCTATTTGGGAGAAGAAAAGAAGGGACTGGTCAGGAAAAGGGAGAGGGATGAATTTATATAAAGATGAAAATAAATTGAGATTCTGACCCCCCAAAAAACGCCTAAATCTTAAAAAGGCATAGACCAACATCAACAATGGATTGACAACAAGAGCATCACATAATTTCATTATACAATAAAGGAAATAAATTCCGAATAGCTCGGTTGTTAAGTGTTGGGTAAACAATTATTGGTTCAATAAGAGAATTGATGGTTCCACCTGCAAAATTAAGCACCAACCTTTGCAAAAGTGCTCTTCCCAGAACCGTTCTTCCCCATGACCGTATGAATCTAGCCACAATTAAGACAAAAATTAGCATCATATATAAAAATATGAAATCCACAGCAGACAAAATTTCACATCATTGAGTTTATTATAGTCAAATCAGTAAATAAAATGATCCAATACCTCTATACATCACAAAACAATGAATATTCACATGAACAAATAATTATCCAAAACAATTCATTCAGCACCAAGACACTTTTTTGGGCTTTTAAACTACAAAATGGGAATTAGAAGTAAAAAAATCCATATGCTAACCAAATTAGGTTTTTCATAATCGAGATTGTGCCACTAATTAGTTAAACTGAAGAATACGCTAAACATAAAAAGAATGAAGCTGATATATGCAATTTACACACACACACATTGATATATGTAAATGCATCATATAAGAAGAAGAATTTGAGATTAGAGAGACCTCTCCTTCGTAGACAGTGAGGTTAACGCCCCTAAGTATCTCCTTTTTCGATTCTGCAATCACGGCCTTAAGGTCTTTAACCTCAAGTAGAAGCTTCGGGGAATATCCGGCGTGGTCGACGCCGGAATTCGCCGGAGATTGAACGGCGACGCTAGCTTTCACCTTAAGAGAGAGACTGTTCTGTGGAAAACGGCGACGTCGAGGGGGTATGGCAGAGACTGCAAAAAAAAGGGAATCGGAGGTCGAATTTTTTGACGGAAGAAGAAAATTAGGTGGAGGAAGTGTCCGGAAACAACAGGAATGGAGGAGAGCCATTAGCAACCTTCTGATTTCGCCGAAAAGATGAAAATTTAAGTAGAGAAGGGAAGTTCTTTTATTTACCAAATTACCTTTCTTCCCGAGAATAACTAAAAATAACGTAATATACGTGTTGGGGCTTGGGCGACAATCCATGCTATATATAAAGATACTTACATTTTTTAAATTGGACAAGGACAATTATTCAATTTGAATACTAAAATACTTAAAATATATTTAAAGCAAAATAAAACAAAGAACACCGAATTTTGAAGTAAAAAAAAATTGGGGTTCCGGAATTTTTTTTTGGGGTTCCGGAATTTTTTTTTGCGGCCTTTACAAAATTTTTGGGATTTTTATAATAAAAAATAAATATTAAAATACTTAAAATATCTTTAGGAAGATTTTGAAATTTTTATAAAATAAAATTAAAAAATGATCATAATTGACAATCTGTAGCAATTTGTTACAAATTTTCAAATACAATAATTTATAAAATCGGAGCCTTTTTTACTAGTATTATTTACACAATTTTTATATAACTGCAGGTTTTTTGACCTTTTATATAATTATAACATATCCATTCTAAGGTAAGGCTATTTTTTTTTCATATTTTTTTTTCTGTCAAAAAAAAAAAAAGAAAAAAAGAAAATTGAATGTGGGAAAAGGTAATTTTATATGCTAAATGATGAATTACCAAGCTTCGAGTCAAGCGTTAATAGTGGTTTTTCATGATGTTTTTTCACTTCTTAATACTTGTACAGGTTCTTCTTTATTCTAAGTGTCTCGGGGAGGCAATGTTGTAACTAATTTATTCAGCAAGAAGGCTCTAATGGCCTATTGTGGAGATTTGGAGTGAAATGTGTCGCTCAAGTGCAAAGGCGAATTTAGGGGTGGGCGAAGATGGGCTGCAGTGTACCATACTACTTTAAGCCCAGCACAAAAAAAAAAAAAAAAAAAATATTAATGGTGGCCCATCCCAAATTAGCCCAATTCAAAGTTAGCTCACCCCATTCAGAAATGCTGGATACGCCGGCTCCTAAATGCTGTATTCTCTGACTGTAATTCTCATTGTTCTTAATGTCATGGTTTGTCTTGGTGAAGAAAAAAAATATCATAAAAAAACCAATGTTCACAGTGACATTTCATTCGTTTTGAAGTAAGATAAGATATATTGTTAAAAAATCAAAAAAAAAATAAAATTAAATAACAAAAAAAATAAAAAAATTAAATTATTAGCTATGGAGTATAATTTTTATGTCCATGAGAAGAGCATAAAGTATACCACTCTTTTTTTTCTTTTTTTTTTTCTTTTTCTTTTTCTTTTTTTCATAAAGTACACCTACTAAATATTACCCAAAACTCCAAGGTCATCAAGGTCACATATTTCTTTAACAAGGGCAGTTTCGTAGTAACGCATTTTTAGAAAGTTAGTTACGCCATTTTCATATAGGCCTTCTCTTTCTATTTTAATAAGGCCTTCTCTTTCTATTTTAATAATAATAAAAAATAAAAATTAATAATAAACATTTTCTTCATTTTCCAGATTCTCCATAGAGCCAATGATGATTTCCTCGCGGTTTTTCTCGTTTGCCGTTTCATTTTCTCCGAAATGTCGGATTGCCAACACTTCTAATCCGTTCCATTGAAAGGTAAATTCTTCTATCCTTTTTTTTTTTTTTTTTGTCAAATCGTTTTAATTTTAATTTTTTTAATCCTATCTACCCATTTTTGTGGCATTTAGACAATATTTGTTCTTTTCTTGATTTTGTTTCTTTAATTCAATAAAGATGGTTGGAACATGATGACCCTTTTCTTTAATCTTTTCATATCACAAACACGATTGAAATAAAACGCTGCTACACATATGTTTCTTTATTGCAATGTGTTTTGTGACGAAATAAATTTAATAAAAGAAAAGTGTTTTGAGATTGTATTTCAGTTTTGGGAAATTCATTTTAGATTGAAACCCAGTTAAAAATTTAAATACTTTTTGTAGAATTTATCAGAAGATGGATTTTTCGGAGGGCGGTAGTAATGTTCGGAGGTCCATCTGTTTGATTCATTGTGTGAGAGAGAATGAAGCTTTTGGTTTAATTAATTACAAGGAAATTGTATTATAGAAATAAAATATGTTTTTTTTCCCTTCTATTTATTATATATTAGTAGTCTTCCGCGTAGATTTTTCATTGTTAGTATAACAACTTAATCTAAATTATAGCCAAAATATAGGTGTATATAATACAGATATATAATAACTCATTCAAGTGTGAAAGGGGTGTAAAAGAGCACAGTTTAAAGTTATTTGAGGAGGAATAAGATTGGCAATGTCACACCTCTAAGGAAGCAAAGATTACAACTCTCTTAAATTAAGATTGATGTTGTTGACATATTGATGCAAGTGAAGTACTGTTTTGCATCATCTTATTAAAGTCGGGACAGGGAAATATTTAAGAAAAGTAGCAGTGATCAAAGCTAGCATAGTGGATGCATTAGATTTGGAATGGGGGATGATAGAATTTCGGTTTGCATTTTTGGACGAGAAGGAATATCGATAGACATATAATCTACCTAATTTGATGGGACGGCATGGGATAATAATGGTAGCTATCAAGACAGTGGTGGACTGGTGGTGCGGTTTATCTGCTACATTAGAGGAGAACTGTATCTGAAATGGAAATCATACTCCTCAAAGACCACACGATAAATTGAAAGCATGGTTGCTGTGTTAAAGCAAATTGTATGCTCTATGAAGATTGTTGCTGCTAAGTTACATTTAGTGCATAGACTTGGGACTCAATAAGATTTTTTTTGATCTGGACCAAGATAAGCATATGAAATGGAAATGTGCAAGTAACATGTATGTCATACTCGATATGGTAGTTTAAATTTTGACCAAGATAAGCACTTGAGAAGGACATTCGGGGAGAGAAATACGCTGAAATTATTCAATAATATTTCCTATGGGCATTGAAAAAAAAAAACAAGAAAAACCCATAGATTTTTAGGTCTTTTTGGTATGGAGTGGATGCGTAGGCTTAATAATTATATTTCGTAATCTCCCTCATTGTTTGGAATTCCAGATCAAAAGACTGTATTTGAATGCATTGAACTCTAAATAAATCAAAGTTGAAGGAAATCAAGGAATCCAAGCCACTATAAACCACATCGGATCCATTTCTCCACTATAGAAATTCATTAGAAATTGTTAAAAGATGTAGCATATATAGCTCATCAATGGTTCACTTTGTTAGAATTCTTAGAACACTGAACTAAATGGATTTTTTGTATATATATTTTCTTTTTTCTTGGTTTTTCTTCTTGGGTGGTGACTGGTGCATAAGCAAATGGTTTTAATTCCCAAGATTTGAGCTTACCTGTCGTGTGAAGCTCCATTGTTTTTCCCCTTAGAAGAAGAGAACTCTTCGTGTTTCGCCATCCTCAAATAGAGAAAATAAAATTCTTGCTATCTTTTTAGGTTGTTTTTCATAAGAAAATCCTAATTTTGTTGTCATTTATGAATCTATTTGTAACTCAGATGCACCATTTGTCTATAATCTGACAGATTTTCTACTTTAAGGGTGCTACCGTAGTTCTACCCCAGTTCAGTTGTCCAGAATCAATGGGAAATTGCTTAGCCAAAGTAAGTCTTCCAAACAAGCTATATCAATGGTTTCATATTTTGGCCTAATTGCTATAATTCTACTACACTGACTGTTCGATTTAATCAATCAATAGTAATGCTCTTTGTGTATATATTGTGTATGAGTATTGTAAATTTAACTCTGCTCCTTTGTTGTCATGCCCCACTTGCTGAAGAATTACATGATTTGTGCAGTTATCTGGACAAAAAAATGATAATGACGAGTGTATAACAGGAGATTTTACCAGTAAAAATGTTCACCTCATAACAACCATTCAAAGCTGGGAAGAAAAGCTTTCAGAAGCAAACAGGGATGGCAAGATAGTAAGCAGTTATTCCTCTTCTCTTAAATGATATCATGTTTGGAGCAATGACCCTTGTTTAATTATATTGTATTATGAGCACCAATATCATGATTACTCTCCACATTAATCTAAATATGCAAAACCTTGGTTCGGCTACTTGCCCAAGAGGCCAAGCCATTGGTACTTCTTCAGAAGTGAAAATGGTAAAGTTGGGAACCAAAAGAAGCAAATGCAACTTAAATAAGATGTGGGAATTTTGACACGGAAAGTTTGGCAATGATTGGAAAACATGTAGAGGAAAAAAATATCAGACTAAATACGAAGAGTTAACAGAATTTATAACATGTCCAAATGTTTTAAAAGTTTATTGGATGCTTTAGAAGCATTCTTTGCAGGAAAACATAACAATGTTCAAGCATTTGCAATTATGGGAAAACATTATTCGGAAACTTTTCCCTGAAACTTTTGGAGAGGTTTACCATTAGGCTGGAACACATTCCTTATGAAGTGCGGCTACATTTGAGTTTCAAACACTTAGCTGAGTCCAGTTTATGGACCTGGTTGACTTTAAGCCTTCCATCACTACACACATTGAATCAAGCATAAACTAGTTAACAACTTAAGTTGGTCAGTGGCTCCGAATATTCATTATGTTTCCAATGGTCTTATTCCCTGCTATCATTTGGATTGCCACTTTTGGTAAGCTCACCAGTTAATTGGCCACACCTAGTTATCACCTGATTGGACAACGTCGTGGCACATTTAATTCCTTCTTTTCCCCTTTTGGAAGACAGATTTGTGGAACCGTGCTTCTAATATTTTTTTTAATTTTTATGTTTTGTTTTCTTGTTTCTTCTTGTTCTCTCTTTCTTGCTATATGTACTTAGTTGAACATAGAGTCCATAAGCCGAGCTACTTGATATGCATGCATACAGTGAATATGGAAGTACCAACGCGTAAATAACCTCCTTAGTGTGTGTGTGTGTCTCATTCTCTCACAGAACTTGTTTCTGATCCTACTGTCCAACAGGTTGTTGCAAATTTCAGTGCAGCATGGTGTAATCCTTGTAGAGTGATAGCACCGGCCTACTGTGACCTTGCTGATAAATATCGTTCTATGATATTCTTAACCGTGGATGTTGATGAGCTAACTGTAAGTATTGGCACTTTACCTATGGCACACAATTTCTACTTTCAAAACAGTAGCATGTTGTTGTCAAGTGAACCCTCTATTTACCTTAAATCAACTCTGAAAATATTAGTATTTTTTTTAACTAGTGCACAAATTTGTCACATATGCTACCATGAATGAAAATTAGTCTGTCCAGTCTTTTTTTTCTCTTGTTCATTATAGGTAGATTTCATCATCTTTAATTGTATTGAAAACTTTAAGCTGTGCCATTTTAGTGACTGAAGAATTGATACTAAAAAGAAGAAGATAGGAAGACTTCCTTGATGGCTCCGAATTTGTTTCATGGCACTATTTTAGTTGATAGATTTTTACCTTCAAATGCTATGCAAAACACAATAGATATATAGATAACTAACACACTAAAAGTCGGAAAAATACTTTCGATTAATGAGGATTGTGGTGCAGGAGTTTAGTACGTCATGGGATATCAAAGCCACGCCAACCTTCTTCTTCCTCAAAGATGGAAGGCAAGTGGACAAACTTGTTGGAGCCAACAAGCACGAGCTACAGAAGAAGGCTGCTGTCATTGCTGAATCTACAACCAGGCACAAGTAATCGATTATTTCATAATTATGTCCCGATCTCACAGAGAGTGCTATGTACAATTTTGTAGACAGCTGAAATGGTACTGCCATGCCCCCAAAATTTACGTGCCAGATTCCATTAAATGTGTGCATAATTTGAGATGTTTGTCACCAACACAATTTTACAATTAACTCTTCAATAAATTTTGTCCATATAATTTCCAGTCGGTTAATTTCAAAATAACGACGATCTCAACAAATGCCAATGCAACCATGAACAACGTCATCCCAAAACCCAAGGCTACATGAAATGTGAGATATCTTGCAAGCAACTAATGGCTGGTTATGAATGTATTGATGTACAAACATTAATACGAATGACAAACTGAACAAATTTTGAGTAACAACATGGGATGTATAACGCATCATTCGATTATCTGTATAATGATTACTGCTGCAGAGCCTGTGACAGTCAAACATTCCAACCATATATGGAAGATAGAACATTCGGAGAGAGACTGCATTGCTGAAAATTAAACAGGAATGCCCAAATAATTCCAAGTCAATCCCCCCAAACATGCAACAACATCTATGGCTCCTGTTGGTGTTGTGTTGGATATTCCTCAAGCGATTCAAGCGTCCATAGTTCAGCTTCTGAAAACATTGCAAGAAATGCGACTTCCGAAATTTATATACTGTTTATTGCTAGTTCTATAGGATAACTGGACCATGAACACATTCTCACAGGTTGATGTCTTTAATCAGAGTATGGTACCATTGCCATATATTCAACAGGACCAGAAAGAAAACATTCCACAGTTTCAGAATGATGCTCAATATAGGGACTGTTTGGGGGAAGTAGAAAACTTGGGTCAGATCAACATATCATAGTGATATTGAAATAGCTATTCATGTGGGATAAGGTGTGGAGGAGGATTTTCTCCCTCACACGAGGCTTCTTGCCCAGACCAGTCATAAAAAGGAACATGAGAAGAAAGAACACACACACACACCTACTTCCCCCAAAAACACACACGCACGCACGCGCACATGAGAATAAAGAAAAGGAAACATCAAAGAGATTATCATTTAAGAAGAGGGATATTAAAAAGATTGTATTTAAATATTTAAGTTACAAGTTAGTAACTTAAAGGATCCTGATTGGAAAGAAATCATTCCTCAATACAATCTTTAGCATGACCTGACCTAAGAAATTACAAAATTCAATATGGATTTGCTGAACTGGGCAAAACCAATTACTGGGTGCAAATGTCTAAACCTTGTGATCCATCAGCCAAGGTGTTTAGTTATATGAATCATTCCTCTGCAGAAAAGGAGCTGCAGGCCTTACATAAGTGAACCCCTTGAAGGGGTTGTCACTACATTTTGGACTAGCAGCCGGAGAATCCAGCAGCGGCATGTTGGTCCAGCACTCCTCAAAGTTGGCAATGCATTGTTTTCCAGCAACTTCTGGGAGAAAGCTCGGCTGAATCTCCCGAGCATCCAGTTTCTTCCAGTTGATCGATCTGAACCACTTGTGGCCTTTTATCTCCTCACTTCCACCAGGTCCAGAGCCAAGGCGCTTGCTCGCTTCTTTCTGCAGTAACTGGTGAGGAAAAAATTTTCTTTATTCTCATTTTCCTATTACTCATTCATGAAGAACCAAAAAGGTAAAAAATTGCAATACATCACGAAATACCATGCCTTTTTAGCTATACCAGCCTGGCTACAGGCCCAGATGCAATACAGAACATTGACTGTGGTTAACAACCACCAAAATGTCATGACTACCAACAAACATACTTAAGTTCATGACCCATGCAAAAGATGAGTTCAACTCCACAACAATTTTATATCTACCAAGGTTTACATCGAGTATATAGAGCCTTTAAATTGATCCCTCTATCTGGAGTTAGCAACTTGCAACCAGCCAGCCAGCTGCATCATGGATTTATAAATTATAATGTGCAGGGAAGCACATCTCCATGTATTTTCCAGAGTGACTAGAGTCTTCACCACCCCAACAAAAAATCTGATCATGATGCTCATTAAGGAAATAAAAATTAGAAGAAAATAAAAATAAAAAAATTACTCCTCTCAGTAATGAATGTGCTTCACTTGACAAAAATGTTGGCAGCTTGATCTTGTCCTTTATAATCTTCTGCTGGATTTTCTGCCGATTCCCACCAGTGAAAGGTGCCTGTACAGAAATTAATAATAAAAAAAGGTAATAGTTAAAAAAAAAAAAAATATGACTAATTGTGTTTTCTGTAAATTAAATAACCAAGGAAAGACCTCTGAACTGTTTCAAAAATAAATAAATAAATTATATTGAGTCGCCAAATTGTCAATTCATGAATAGTTTAAGGATCTGACCATCTCCACGCCCCGCCCCACCCCCCACCCCCGCCACACAAAAAAAAAAACCAAAGACACCATCCATTGGAATTCGAGGCATATCCTCAGAGAAACTCATGTTTCAAGCACATACTTACTACTTACTACAACTCTTCCTGATGAAAGCCAAAATCGTCTTTTGTCTTCATCTAAAGGTAAAACTTCAGCACAACAAAACCTAATCTAGCATTTGGTTGCTCACATGAGTTAAGAAAAAGAAACGGTCAGCACATCCTAAGTATTATGCCTTCAAACTTAGGTTGTACTAAGGATTTGACATTTTCGGTAAGGTTCTTGTTTTCCAGGTAACCTAAGCCTGGGAAACAGGGCCTGGCCATCCTTCGTTTGCGGTCGACATTCTGGAATTTTTTTTTTTTTTTTTTTTCCCGGTAAGTAACATTCTGGAAATGTTTTATCTGTTGACAGCTGAATATTTTAATCTGATTTGATTCGTGGTTGCATCTGCAATTGTTTTCCCATGGGACGACACCCCCCAAGTCCAGGCATATACCAAAAATGCATAATTCCTACACTCAAGAGTTAGCGAACACTCAAAAGTTTAGTTTCATTTATTTTTATATTCAGCAACCGGAGAAGTAAAGAGGGGAGGAGGACCAGGGCTAAGAATGAGGAAGTATCCACATTAATTGCACAGGCAGAAACCTATACCATCATTAGATAATTCAGGATACCTTCAACAAAGAAATATCTACAGTACCATTAAAAAAATCTAAACCATCCACACATGGAAAAGCAATTACAAGATAGTTTAAGCTATCAACATACAGCAAGTTATCACTAAACATGAAACCAGAAGTGCATGCGTTAGCAAATCACACTTCCGAAACCCTGCAAGAAGCCTCACATTGATTTGCTTCTAAAAGTGTCACTAGGCCAATAAGATGGCCAAGTTTTGTTAAGCCAGGTCACCGAATTTAAAATTGGAACATTAATAAACAAACTTTTCACTTTTCAGTCTCTTGAAAATAAGCTTAGAGATGACATAAGCACAAGTTGATGAGCAAAAGAAGAACTATTGAAGGAGATGCTTACACTCACAAGTCAATTAAAATGGATCAGGGGGAAAAAAAACTCACCTTTCCAGTAAGCATCTCATACAGTAGAATTCCTACACTCCACCAATCTGCAGCCTTATCATGACCTTTCCCAAGAACAATTTCCGGCGACATATATTCTAAAGTTCCACACAAAGAGTTGGATCTTGTATCCTCAACAAATTGCTTTGCCAGGCCAAAATCAGTCAACATTGCCTAGAATCAATCATATCACACAGCATGGAAAAATGGCATGTAAGAAGTTTGTTTGTGAATTCAGGTGAACATGTAAAAATACATACATGTGCAACATTGAAAGAATCTTGGGAAGTTTTCCAAGATGGTTTGCCTATTTATAACAAATATCCATTGGAGTGATTTAGTTCATGTTAAAGGTGCCAAAAAAGAACAAGAGGAGGGCTGAAAGAAATAAAGATTGAAGTTTTGACATAAGATATATTTGGCAAAGATTTGATGAAAGCATCATTCTAAATAAAGAAGAAATGTGGAGGGGTTTTATGAAGATATCCCAACTATCAGGATAAGGTCTTTTTGAGTTAAGATCAGCGGCAGTCTGGTTTTTTTCTTTCAGTGTTCTGGTTTTAAGGCTTTGTAACCTTCATTGAATCTAGGGTCTGTAGAATGCCTAAATAACAAGGTCCTCTCCTATGGTTTCAAAAATACCACTGACCTCCCCTGTTAGGGTTGTAAGTTTAACGAAGGTGTGAACTGACAACATATGGATAGAAATGTCTTTTGAAGCGTTCTAAGGGCAAAATTGAATTTTTAGATTTTTTCAAGCATGACATCAGTGGACAAGACTGACAGATTTTATGACAGGGGAGGTCAATGCTCATGTGCACCCCACACCAACACACACATAGACATGAAACCCACAAAACCACCCCCCCCCCCCCCCCCCCCCCCCCACACACACACACACGCACGCGCAGAGAGAAGGGTTTTTACATGTCCATCTGCATCCAAAAGAATATTTTCAGGTTTGAGATCCCGGTGCATTATGCCATTTGCATGGAGATGAGCAACAGCGGAAACCATCTCAGCGGCGTATATCCGTGCCAAATCCTCCCTGAAAGAATTGTTAAAAAAGTTCACACATCAATGTTCTCCAAGCATTCCCAGAAACACAATGGCTGGTAAACTGCATTACCTAAATAGCCCTTGGCGATACAGTTGAAAGAAAAGGTGACCGCCATTGACAAAGTCAAGCACGAGGTATAGTCTATATTTGGTCTGCACAACAGGAATAACTCAAATCTTAAACGGTGTTGCACCAGGCAAAGATCTAAGATCAACATTTGTTATTGTAACTTGAATATAATCCTGAATTTCAATAAGTAACACTATTGAAAACATGAAAAATTGTTGAACAAAAGAAAACTGAAAATATTCAAATATTTCTTCATGTTGAGGTCATTAGGTAAATCATTACTTGGAATGAGTATCTGAGCTGCACGATGAAAGGATGATCGACTGTTGTTAAAATATCCCTCTCAGCTTTCATATATTCCGCATGGTTTTTGTCCATAATCTTATCCTTGCGCATGACCTTCATTGCAAATATTTCTGAAGAACCTCGCTTCCTCACTTGATACACTTTTGCAAATGCACCTTGGCCCACAACCTTCAAAACTTCAAAATCTTCAAGCCCTACCCTCTCGCACTTCAGAGAATTACTATCAACATGAACAACAAATTTTTCAAAGGCACTGTCTAAAGCAGCTTCCTGAGCTTCCAGTGCACCTTCGCTGGTTCCCTCCACAAGTTCCAGCGAATCCCCCGTCTCACGTAAAGTGAGCTTGCTATGCTTCAACGATTTACTAACATAGGTTGTGGGGCCCACCAACGACTGGGATCGGCTGTAAATTACTGCAGCGTCATCATATAATAATTCATTTTCACATGCAGCAGGCAAATTTCTGGAATTCTCAGAACTCATATCTTCAAGTGTTTGAGCTGGTGCAGGACCAAACACATCATCAAAGTCCAACTCGACATGATCCACTAAAAGAACATCAGGCGGTCCAACTGGTAGAAACACCTGCCTCTTGAATGATTTTTGTGTGGGGGCCCCAGTCAAATTAGAGAACTGAGAGGAAACCATTTTGCTAAATATCAAATGAGGGGGGAATGCAGTAAATGGATTTTTAAAGTTCTTCACTACAATAGATGGATATCCCTGGAAGACTCCAAGAAGCGAACTGATGATTTAGGACACCTGACAATGGCCTTAAACAACAGGAAATTCACGTATGTGATGGGAATTCCAAGGAATCTTGGGAACAAGCAAACCAAAATCCAGAAGAAGAAAGTGTTCTTATTTCCCGATTTACAGGAAATAGTGGATGCAACAGTGCTCCTTGAATTCATGAAGATCAGACTGGCAAAGCTGCAGGTCATGGCAAAAATAATGTCAGTTCCACCTATACATGCAAATTTTAATATATTACCTTCAGTTATATATGTATAATGATGAGAAATCAAGATTTTGAAAACTATGCTTTGAATAATTGCTTATAGTTTTTAATTTGGTTCTATTGATGTGGTCGTTCAAGAAGACTAAGCAAACTACAAACAAATATAAAGAGATTTTCCCAACGAGCAGGATCAAGATTCATGTGGTCGCATAACTTTAGCAACTTCTTTGCCATGTGCATGATTTTCCTAACATATAGAAGCCCCTTTCAACGGGGTAGAGCAATTGGTAAAATATTGATGTGTTTTTCAACTCTCCTTATTGTAAGTTCGCAATAGTTGGAAAGCTTCGAAAATGTTGATAAGTGAAAAAACTTAACAATAACAAACACAATGAGGTCGCTAAAACTAGTCGAATGAAATGGATATTAGCTATCTGAATTTGTTACCCATCGATATGACAAATCATTGCAACAAAAAGTGGCACAAGACAGAAATTTGCCCTTTATAAACAACCAAATACGCCTTGACCAAGCAAAGCCCAGTCCTCACAAACATAACCCCACCAAAATAGCCCAGATGGTATGAAAGCACAAACACAACCCCAACAAAATAAATTTAGAGAAGCTCCAGAAGAACATTATGGAACATTACCAATGGGCATTAGCCCAGATGGTATGATCTCTCCTCCCCAAGGGGGAGGTTAAGTGTCCAAGCCAGCTCTGCTAGGGATTGTGGGTTTGAGTGACTTTGCTTGAACTTTCCCCAAAAAAAAAAAAAAACATTACGGAACATTAATACAATAAATTATTAGAATTTAAAAACACACCACTTGCGCAATACAACCGGGAATCATTACATAAACAATAGGCATCACAAAATCTATAATAGCCCACCCGTCGATGTTTTCAATGATGCTAAAATGCATAAAACTGAAACCCTAGATCCGATACAAATTCTAAAATTCTACGCTGTGATAGAACAAATTGCAAACCGAACAAGATGCGTCTCATAAAGGAAACCATATATACGGACATTAGCTCAAATTGCGAAATACAGTAGAAAATCTGTAGATAAAAAATCGAAGCTTTAACGAATTTCACACATCACAATAGTTTTGTATTCACAAAAACATATATATATATATATATAACACATACACATATATAATATATAATACATAGGTAAGGAAGATGTATATTAGGGTTAGAATGGGATTAGCTGTTTCTTACCTTGAAGAGATAGCAGGAATGGAGGTCCGTGAGAACTAGTTCGAGAGAGAATTTAAGAATGAATTGTTTCCACGTTTATAACCGCCTGAGAAATGAATTGTTTTTGGGAAGTGAACGTGGCGAATTTTTATTGGTCTATAACTGCCAGATAAATGAATTGTTTTTGGGAAGTGGACGTGGCGAATTTTTATTGGTCTATAACTGCCTGATAAATGAATTGTTTTTGGGAAGTGGAAGTGGAAGTGGAAGTGGAAGTGGCGAATTTTTATTGGACGGTTTTAATAACAATGTTAGGCTAATAATGAAGTCAAAACTTCGTTGCTTCAACGCTTTTCAAAACCTATCCTTTTTTGCGTGAAGGAAAACGTTTCGGGTGTGACAACTTGAGTTGACACTTGATGGAGGTGTTTACTATAATACCCTTAGCCACTAGTTTTTTGTTTTTCTTTTTATTTTGGAAAAAAAGATTAGGAAAAATTCGAGTCAACACTCTCACAAGTAGGTATGGCAACAGGGCGGGTTTAAAGCGAGTTTCCCTAAATTTTGCTTCGCCTCGTTTAATTTTTGGCAAGTCCATGTCCGCCCCGTGCCCTGCAACGGGTTGAATTTTCATATCCATTCCCACCCCTTTGGGAAATATTGTGCCCCGTGCCCGCCCGGCTAACAATTTTTTTTTTTTCAATTTTCTTAGCTCAAAAAGTGATTTGGTGTCCCCTTTATCTTCCACAATTTTCTTGGTTGACTAGTCCGAACAGAAGAAAACGAAGAATAGACTAATCCCTCTGCCTGAGAAGAATAAATCAAATAAATTATAAAATATAATATAATATATATATATATATATATATATATATATGTAAGTATAAAGAAGGGAGAAAAAGAACTGAAGAAGAATAGATCTTCGTGAATCTACCTGAGAAAGAGAAAGAGAGACTGGTGAAGGAGAGAGAGATTGAGGTCGAGAGTTTGGTTTTTGAGTTTTGACTCTCTGTCTTCCTTTGATGCGCTGCTCAATTCATGCATAAGTTTAAGAAATTAGGATTATAAAAAATGAATAACTGGGTAAGTCGGTAAAATAAATTTATATATATATATATATATATATATATATATATATATAATTATATGCTTAGCAGAGCGGGGCCGACGAATATGTATATGAACCCTTACCCCATGCCTGCCTCGACAGTATAAAAATTGTTCCCATATCTGTTATTAACGGAGCGTAAAAAATTGTCACCCTTACTCACAAGAAGTGGGTGATGGAACCATACAACTTTGTTATTTAGGATTATTAACGCTATTTAGGATAGTTTTTGAGAAAAGTTTTATTTTTTAAACTTATCATTAATGACCAGGAGCGGTAATTAGTTTCGTGGGTTATAATCGTATCATGTTGATCTAAGGGTATTTTAATAAGTAAGTAAATATAAACTAAACCTATTTAATAATCATGTCAGGAATCCTCAACATTAATCTGACACTATTAAAGTAAACAGATTAATCGTGTCAATCCGTTTATAACCCGAACCCATTTAAAATTAATTCAAATTCGCTTATATCGTATTGTGCTGTAATTTGTCACCCTGCTAATGACTCTCTTCCCTTGAAAAGAAAATCGATTCAACAATATATCTGCCATCATTGCCATGGATTTTATAAGTTACATTTATCAGCCTAAGCATTAAACATTGTCGATGGATATCATTTAGTCAATATAATCTATTGACATCAATTTTGATACGGCATTGGAGGGTACTGAATTGTCATTTTCAATTAAAATAAAAAATACTTGATTAATCGATTTTCACTATACACGTGTATATATCTCGATGTTTATAATTTAAATTCTCATTTTAAATATCATATCGGTAAAAAATAAATACATAACATGTGAAAATATATAGTAAAAACACATGTTCATAATTGTCTATTACGTTCAATTTAAAAATAAAATAAAATCTTAAATTTCAATACATTTACTCTATTATTATTATTATTATTAACTAGGAGTTCTCAATAACAAAGTGGTGGTTCTCAATGCATATGCAATCTTTTTGCTTAATTCAAGCAAAGTGGAGAATAAATTTTAAAATATACTAATTTATTATTTTTAAGACTCCTAACTTTACTTAAATATAGTTTTTCCTTACAAATAAATTATAAAAAAAATTGCAATTATAATGGTGCATTAGTGGTTTTCTTTAATTTAACATTAAGGATTTGATGGTCTTCATGCAAAATGATAAGTAATTAATTTGCCATCTTGTTGCGTAGTGAATTAATAAATACATTATTTGGTTGTATATTACATATTTTTAAAAAATAAAATCCATTTCATGCTATTCGAGATGTTATATATATTTTCTAACGTCGATTGTCCTTTTAAAGAAGGAAAATGCTAATTTTGACTACTACGGTTCACCCGAAAAAACCGACTAAACAGGTGTTCGTGTTTTTACCCTTCTCTTCAATATCTGTATTCTCTGAGTTCTCTCTCATCTTCTTCACCCTCTCCATCGCTGCCGATGTCTCCTTCATGGTGGTACGTAGAGGCTCCACCTTCTAGCTTTTGAATTTTGCCGACGTGGTGGCCATCGGAAGCGAGCGCCGGAGTGGTCGTTCACATATCTTTCTGTTCTGCAATTCCATAGATGGGCTTATCACAGTTAGCCAGAACCAGGACAAACTATAGATACAACAAGAGTCCAGGTCCAAGCTAGAGACAAGGCCTAGCCCGATAATAACTAAAGATACAACAAGAATCTAGGCCCAGCAACATATTGTTGAGAAAAAGGCATTTAAAAAATATTTGGCCCATGCAGGTCTCGAACCTGCGACCTTCGCGTTATTAGCACGACGCTCTAACCAGCTGAGCTAATAGGCCATTTGGTACGGAACTGAATTTTATTTATAAAATAGAAAATATTATACATATCGCTGCTGAGATTTAATTTATTCATGAAATAAACAGCAAATTCCAATGCACTATTTAGCTATAAGATGAGAGACTGGAAGTCCATTGCAGCCTTAACAAGCAAGCCGGAGAGAAGAAAAGGCGCGGAGAAAAATGGACTATGATCAGTTTCCAGGACATAAACATCGGAAGGTGGCCACCTATTTATCATCGCATCTTGTTGCCCTTGTTTGATAACTCGATCATACGTTGTTTTGATGTAAACTCGACGCACTTTATCTACGTTAGGTCCCTCCAAAAATCGAGCAGATTGTAAGGCTCGACATGGTGCCGGCCTTACAAGCATGGCAGCTAAAGTGGAATCCTGTACGGAACCATTCAGAAAAAAAGAAAGAAAAAAAAAAATTACTGTCTAACAATTAATAATCATAAAAGAGGTAAATTGAATCGATTAATTAATAGAATCATTGCACACAAAACATTCTTCAATTGTAATTGGTCAAATCCTTTGTAGTAGAATGTTAAGAGTGGTTAAAATGATCATGATGTTCTATATTTCTCTCTCTCACACACACAAGAGAGAGATAATAGATTTTATTGATTTTTTAACTTTAATATCCTGTATATATCTCATGTGTCCATTAATTTCACAACAATGCTCACCTCAAGCTGTGCAAGTAGGAATTTTCTTTTAATATGGGTCAATAAAAATATGACATGTGTTAAAAACTTTTTTAATTAATTAATAAAAATTGTTTAGATTTTTTTTCTGATCATCCAAAAGGAAATATTTTTTTCCCTCATGTGTTTGAGATTTTCTATTCCAAATCCTTCATATTGCAATCCATAGAAGAAGCTAAACAATTAGCTCGAGTATGCTAAATTAATCATAATTGTAAGACTTCAATTATCAATGAAGTTTAAAGAAATCAATTTAACCTCATATTATAATAGGTGGTGATAAATCTCAAAATTTTGGATGCTACTAGAGTTATGCGTATTTATTAATTGGGTGCTCTAAAATATTATATATGATTTGGGAAAGGAGGAGGTGGCAAGTAGTGAAGACCGGAAAACGATGGTGGAGGTCCGTTGGTGGAAGAAATGATTAATATTAGGGTTTCAAAATTGAAGAGATGATGGGCATCAGTGGAAATTTGGTGAGAAGAGAGAAAAAATTGTGAGTTAAAAAGAAAGAGAGCCCGCTACCAAGTTTCACACGCGTGAGAGAAAATTCTTTCTTTTTTGGATGACTCATGAAAAGATCAGAATGATTCTGATTTAATTTTTTAATTTTTTTTTACACTTGTCATGTTGTTGTTGGTCCATATCAACATCATAAGAAAAGCCCTGCTTATGCGGCCTAAGACAAGTTTTTTCCTTAATTTCACTATATTGTAAAAAAATCATAGAGAAGAAGTACAATATTAATATTTAAATTAATCAACTCGATAAATCATGGTGAAAGTATTTTATACTTAATTATGGATTGTTTAATAGTAGACCTATTATATGAATTGTTGTTTTTCTTTTTATTGTTTTATTTATTATATCGTTTTTATTTTTAGTTTTAAGAAAGTCAAGTTCAATATTATTGAATAAATTGGGAGTTTGTATAGTAGAATGAGAAGAGGCCGGTATTGTCCCTTGTTAGGAACTGAAACCAAGCTGGAGGAAACAGACATATATCATAACCTCATGTAACATATACATAATTATATTAATTGGATGACAAATATATAGAAAGCTGTGGACAACAAAAAAATTACAGAATTACCTCCATGGGGCTCATATGATAATTGATCTCACGTTGAAATTCTTACTTAACAATAACACTGGTCGGAGGTTGATCAGGTCCCAATCCAAATTCGTAGTCACATACATCGCCGAATTCAGATAAATCAGGCGTTGTCTGTAAAACAATAAAAAGAAAAAAATAAAATAAAATAAAATATACAATAAAATAAAAACTATTCACCCAAACTGCAGAAATGAGGCCGGCGAAGTTCTGAAAAAAGATTTCGCTGAAGAGGATAAAGGGGGTGTGTGTTTTTTCCAATATATATATATATATATATATATATATATAATTACGTCTTTGACATCTTTGTCAGTCCAAAACCCAAGTCGGAGCATATTGGCTGTGACATAGACTGCTAAGCTGATCTTTTCTGCAAACTTGTGAATTGCCTCCGTTACATTGAGTCCTCCACTACTGTGCCCCACCAAAATTACCTGTATATATGAGAAGACATGAACTTAAGATTCGAGTTTTTGATGGAAAGTTTTTAAATGAAGCTTGTGAGCATGTGAGATCATGAACTAATAATGCAAGCTAGCCATGGTGTTTAACAAAAACTATATAACTTTTATGCATGCATAGAGATATAGAACCTGTTCGTTATCAGGCAAGGCTGAAATGAAGTCCATGAGTGGCTGATTGTAGTCCTCAAAAGAAATAATTGTATTGGGGTCAGATCGATCGGTACCGGAACTTTTGAGGTCAGGGCACGAGACTTTGTAGCCAGAATTCTCTAGGAGGCATCTGGTTTTGTACCAGCACCACCCTCCCTCACCGGCGCCATGTACAAGGACAAAGTGTGGCGTCAAGGGTATTTTTGTCATTTTCTCGACCTACCCTCCGCCTCCGGCCTTTTTTCCTCTAGTTTTACCGAACCTCATTTTCATATATGAAATATTCGTGTAATTAAGTCGGATATAAACCTTATCTTATATTGGTTGTGGACATGTGTGGTGGACAAGAGTTACACATTTGTGTATGAGTGCCATTCATATCTGTGATGAAAATGTGTTGTTAGAGTATTAAATGAGTTATGCAGGTGTTATAATGTGATGTAGTATGTTGTAATATTGATTTACCAGCACCACCCTCCCTCACTGGCTCCGAGTACAAGGACAAAGTGTGGCGTTAAGGGTATTTTTATCATTTTTTCTTCCTCGTCTCCTTTTCTTAACTTGGTTGTTAATTGTGTTGTGGTCCTGATTGGGATTAGATGATGGTCATTAGAATATTCTAATTTGTACATGAGACCCAACATGACGTGGAAGGGTGTTTACCTATCTATTCAAAATATTAAATTAGTGGGTAGTGTTATATACTTATTTATTTAAACGCACTTCAACTCTTATTTAAATTTGATATGGGACAAGTTTCACTTATAACATTCTCTGCCCGCATTGCAATCGGGCCACCTTGCGTACCCAGTCCAGACTCGGACGATCTCTGGATCGGGCCCTTGGCGTGACGTCGAATGAATTAAGAATTGTGTTTGGCTCTGATACTAATTGTAATTAGTGGGCGTTTGTTTATTTATCCAAAAATTTAAACTATTGGATAATGTTGCATACCAGGGACGGAGCCAATGCCAGGGAAGCACGTGCCCCTTGGCCTAGCCCCGCTTATTATAATATATATACTAAATTTATATATATTTTACATGTATATATGAAATAATTCGTGCAATGTCCCCCCTAAAAATTTTGTATTTCTTCTATTTTTTACTCTTTAAATTCGTTTAATTTCCTTTAAAAAAACAAAACAAATTTTCCTTTTTTAATCAAACTCCAATTTTTTTCCCTTTCAAAATTCTCTCATTTTAAAATTTTTTTTAACTATTATTTTTCTTAAATTACTCATTGATTGACATATTATTTTGAGTAATTTTTCTTATTTGTCTCTTAATTTATGGCATATATATTTATTATCGTGATTATTGATTTTTTTTTTCTTTTAACACTGTATCCTCTGAATTTAATTTCTGACTCTGACTTTGTGCATATCTACCCATTTATACATACTTCAACTCCCAAATCTCACATGTAACAATGTGCAAGAAGTCCTTTGTAATGACAATGTGGCATTTGCATATCCATTCACAACCGTGTAATTTAATTATTTCAAACTAGTCAAAAAAATGTAGCTTTTTAATGGCAATGCGGCATTGCATATCCATTCACAACCATATAATTTAATTAATTCAAACTAGTCCAAAAATGTAGCTTTATAATGGCAATGAGGCATTGCATATCCATTCACAACCATGTAATTTAATTAATTAAAACGAGTCCAAAAATGTACCTTTCATTTTGACAAAGAATTTCATCCCACCACTCACATTTGTGTTCAATGGTCCTCAATTATACAAGTTGTCAAACATCAACTTTCCAACCCGAATACAGTACTAAACTTTATGAGTTGGATGCAGTACTAAACCCATTAAAGTCAAAAAAAAATTGTTACAAAAGAAACCATTGGATTCAACTATTAAGTAATTTATAATTTTGAATTATTATTGAAAGGAGCTATCTAGTAATTTATAATCTTGAATTATTTAATAATTTCTTAGGAAAGACTCTTAAGTCAAGTACTAACTGATGAAACAGCGGATCAAGAAAGTGTGATAATACAAGTAATAATTTTTTTGGTTGGGCTAATACTAGAAATAATAATAAAAAATATATATATAAAAAATCGGGATGGGCTAAAATTTACTATAATAAAAAATTCTTTTAATTTTGGGTTGACTTGAGCACACTCGAGCCCACCCTGGATCCACCAATAAACCATGTGAGGGAAAAAGTTACATAAACTAGTTTAAGAATTGGTCGGAGAGTGGATTAATTATACTAACACCCCTCAAGTTTAGCTAAATATTATATCGAAATACCTTTCGAAAATAATTATCACTCACATTATAGATGTTAAGTCCGTTTTTTACTCACATCCCAAAAGTTACTCTTTAGATATGTCAAATAAATTTTTACATGTAAAAATAAATTATTAGCCCTTTGACTTTGTGTTGACTTACTAAGGGTGTTTGATGTATAAAATAACATTTCTACTCCCCATTGGATTCATGTTAAGTAACCAAAACACCCGCTCAAATATATGTGTATAGATACATATGTATAATTTTACAAGAAATTCGTTAAAATCCAAAAAATAAATAAAACTTAGAAAATAGATCGCTTAAATTTTTTTTTTTTTACTTAATTGTACTCACACACACATGCCTCCACCGAAACTTGAATTCCTGATCTCCCTTTAAAAGGTAAGAGTCTGATACCGCTAGACCACTAGCCTGTTAGTTAGATCGCTTAATTATTCACATACACTAATTCTTCACACACACACACACAAACACACACTAATTATTCATTACACACACGAATTCTTCATATATACAGTATATATATATATATACATACATACACACACTAATTCTTAATTCTTCATATATATATATAGATAATTATGTTGGTATAGTTGGATAATTAACGGAGAAAATTTTGTCCTTATACAGTTATCATTTTTTATATTAAAAGACGAGGATAAAATGTTATTTCACACCCATTTTGACGGTGTTTATGACAAAATTAAGGTGATTTGGGGTGTGAGTGATAATAATTTTCGAGAGATATTTTAATGTGATATTTGGCTAAACTTGAAGGAGTGTCAATAAAATTAACCTAAGGATAAAGTATAAAAAAAATAAAAAAATAAATAAAAACTCAATTTTCAAATTGAACAAATAAGGGTATTTTATCAATTTGAAAATCAAAATACTTAAAATACCTTTAAAACAAAATAAAAATGTTGATTTTAGTTTTAAAGGGCGTGTTTAGGGTATTTTGGAGATTTCTTTTATAAAAAAAAAAAAATGTTAACACTTGGTTTGAACCCCACCTAATCACTGAACCTTGCATCCAAAACATCCAATCTAAAGTCCAAGATTTCATGAACAAAAAAAAAGAAATTGTAATTTCATTGAATGGAAGTTCATCACATCCTTAACAAACAAGCCAAAGATAGAAAAATGGGCTGTGGTCACTTTCCAAGACATAAACATCAGAGTCGTCCTTTTACATCAAGCCAAATCCCATATTTTATAATTTAGGAATCAAGTTAAGAGCAGTTCCATACAACTAAACATAGTATAAGTATTCTTTAATTATAATGACATTCTTTCTTACTAGCATAGCTATAAATTAAGTAAGACAATCCAAACATTACCTCGTGAGGAATCATATGATAAAATGATATAGCGTCCCATTCCCATTCCAAAATGAAAGTCATACACATGATGAACTCAGATAAAATTGACACGCAAGTTAAGTTCAAGAAATTAAGGAGAAAAAAAAAAAAAAAAACAAAGAAGAAGAAAGATTCTAACCGTGCTTAAACTCAACTTGACTAACAACTTGAATTTGATTTAAAACTCAAATCAAATCAAAATATGAGCATTTGAGTTCAAACGTGAACTTAACTCGCGTGAGATTTATTAATTTTAAGTTTAAGCTAAACTTATTTATTCAACAAATAAATAAATAAACAAGAACCAAATTCTTATCAAATCGAGCTAGTGTTGTATAATTAGTTCATTTGCATCCCCAATAAGTAATTGAATCCTTTATCTACATGGTTACACTGATACGCAGGAGTGCGCATTTTTTTTACCAAACTTATTTTTTCACTATTCACTACAAAAATAAGCAAAACCTAGAGAGAGAACCTGCTCGTTCTCAGACAAGGCTGACATTCTCCATGAGGCATCTGATTTTGTACCAGCACCACCCTCCCCCACCCATCCCGTGAACAAGCACAAAGCCACATAGTGCCTCTTCGAGGGTGTTTTTGTCATTTTCACCACCTCATCTCCCATGGCGGCCTCCACTTGAATTTGTCAATCCATTTAATTATGTATTAGGTTGACTTCTTTCATCTGTTGGAAACTTTGGGTGGATAAAAAAATTTGTTTTATTTTGTGAGTGATGATAGCAATACAACAAATTTACTATTGTAATAACATGGGCATTACAGTTAATTATTATTTTTCATATCGTTTTTGCCCTTTTCCTGGATAAGAAATTTACCATTTGGTACGCATTTTACTTTAATTCGAAATAAAATAATTGTTTTGTTGTAGAGTAATTTGAATATTAATTGATAGCATATCTGGTAACATTAATTTGTTATAAGATTTTTGGAAGTAAAAACATAAATATATGTTTAGTAAAAAGATATTACAAGTTTGAAAAATATAATGGTTAGCTTAAAAAAGTTATTTAATTTTTTTTTAAAAAAATAAGGCCCTGCTTGGAATTGAACTCCCTGTTTTGGGAGTTGCGCAAAACAGAAAACACTTGTTTCAATTCTGCTTGGGCCTATTTTTGGAAAACAGTTTTTATAAAATTGTGTTTTCATAGTGTTGGTTTTTAGAGAACAGCTTAAGGTAGTTTTCAGAATTTTCAGCATTGCTTGAAGACTCAATAGAAAACACAGAGAACACTTCTCCACTTAAAAACTGACGCTACCCTCGCATCGTTTCTAACGCAGCATCCATCTTCTCTCTCTTCAACCTTTCTGCAATGCATCTTCTTTCTCTTCAACCTTTCTGCCTGATCTTGTTTATAACACAAGCTCTGCAACACATCCATCTTCTCTCTCTTCAACCTCTCTACAACCCATCTTCTCTCTCTTAAACCTCTCTGCAACGGCATCTTCTCTCTCTTCAACCACTCTGCAACTAAGAGAAGGTAGATCTGGCTCTTAAAGATCGTTATTTATACAAAGAGATGGGTGGATCTGGTTCTTCAAGCTCTCTTTCTTCAGGTAATCCTTCAATCTCTCTCTCTCAGTCTCTCTTTGCATTTGTATTGGTATTTTTGTGGGTTAAAATTTCTAGAACTTTTTTTCAGTTTTTATCCATTATATTAATTGCTGTTGTGATTATTGAGAAGCTTTTGTTTTAATTTTATTTCTAATTTATTTTGGGAAATATTGATGGGTTTTTGTTGGTTATGTGAGTTTTGTTGTGGATTTTATTTTCAGTTTAGGGATTTGGTTTTCAATTTAGGGATTTGGAGGAAAGAGAGAGGAGACAACTTTATGTTAAAAGCTTGAGGTATTTCAATTATATTTTTGGGATTAATTTTGTCTGACCACATGTTACTTTTACTTCATCTATGTAAATTTAATTTTACATTGCAAAAAATTATTTTGATGGAGTTAACCATCAACTAACGGATTGGGCCAACTTGTTGTTTTTGTTGAAATTTCAAGATTGATTAAAATGATTTTTTTATTGATTGGTATGATACAGTTACATACCTGATCTAAGAGACGGTACCGGGTGTTGATTGGAATAGGGTACCGTAGACTTCTATGCCCAGACATCATTGGCACTATTGGACATTCTTTGACTATATGGGCACGATTGAGAGTCTCAACCTGGCCAGCACCACAAGAACAGGGATTTGAAATCTACAATTAAAAACATCTCGTGAACAGAGAAATTGTGAATAAAGAACTCTTGGAGAATGCTATGACTATATATATATATATATATACATGTGTTAAATGTATATGTGATATTTGCTTGCAAGAGGTTCGTGCTATATTGGGTCATACACACCATCCCCTTCACAACCTATTTGCGGATTTGGACTGTAAGATCATTGGTGAGGAAAAAAAAGTGAGACCATTGATGAGTGAATTGCATATTTAATTGTTTCCTGAGAATCCTAGTATTCGCGAAGTTGAGTTTGAAGATTGAATTGTGGGGAGGGTAGTGAGAGAATCAAATTATGGAGAGTTGACTCTGTTATTGTATAATAGCTAATTTAGAGCTAATGTATGATATATGAGCATTGCTGCCCTATTTTGTTTTCAAATAGCTAATTTAGATTGAATATTAAATAGATTTACTTTAATTTAGACTATATATTAAATAGCTAATTGTAGCTTCTTTTTTTTTTTTTTTTTTTTTTTTGAAAATTGACATTCTTACCAATAATTGTAATGGGGTTTGAATTAAATTAATTTGTCTAGATAATTTTAGATGTCCTCTCTTTACTTTTCCTATGTGAACCTTAATTCTCTACTTCTACATAAACTCTTATAAGTCTTGTACAAAATATAGAAAGTATTTATACATTATTGTCTTTGATTTATTTTTTTATTTTTCCTATGTGAACCTTAATTCTCTACTTCTACATTAACTCTTATAAGTCTTGTACAAAGTATAGAAAGTATTTATACATTATTGTCTTTGACTTATTTTGTCTAATGAAATCAACTGATTCATTTATTTTTGTAATTGTAGGTAACCGCTTGTTGCACGATTCATAATTTTATTAGTCAAAATGCACTAGTTGGTTGCTTTTTTATGGAGTATGAAGAAGAAGATGATGTTGTTGGTGAGGGGAATGCTAGCACGAGTCAAGGACCGAATGCAATTAACTTCTACGAAGCAAAGTCTCATGGGATAGAATCACATACCTTTACAAGTGATGTTCATTCAAATTTGATCTAGATGATGTTTATCCAAATAAAATCATATATTTCATTTTTTTCCATGTCTTTTAAGTTTGTATGAGAAGTGAGATAGTTTATGTACGTAAACATTGAATTAATGTAATGTTATGAATGAAAGAAACCCAGAATTCCTGTGATGAGATGGTTTATGTATGTAGACATTGAATTCATGTAATCTTATGAATGAAAGAAGCCCCATGACAGAAGTCTTTTTTCATTTTTAGTGCATTTTTGTTAATTTGAAAATATTTAAGAGTAATCCACATCTAAATTTTATAATAAATCTAAGAAATAAATAAAAAATAAATGAGTGATATGCAATATTCTTTATTTTCATAAAACTATTTTTAACCAATCAGTTTTGTAAGTTTTTGTTCTCCGAAAATTGTTTCGTAATTTTCCCAACCAAGCAGGTTGAAAAACAAAAAAAAAAAAACACTGTTCTCTATTCTCTGTTCTTATTCTCTAAAAACTGTTATTGAAAACAATTTTGAGAGAATAAAACCAAGCAAGGCCAAAAATTTTCTGTTCGCCGTTATATTACGCGTTGCTACAGTGCTGAAATGTGTAAGAATACCAAATTGGTATTTCGATTTTTGATCACTATTCACCGAATGTTTTGATATTGTGCAAAACAAAATATTTTTTATCAAACTTATTTTTTACTATTCACTACAAAAATAAAAATATCAAAAACAAAATTTATACCAAACAGACCGACCGTAGTCTTGCTTAAGGGTTACCATTTTCCTCCATTTTTTCTAAAACAAACAAAAATCAAAATCCTTTTTATTTTTGTCTGTTCCTATCAATCCAAACAGACTCTTACAATTTTTTATTTTAGAAATAAACACATAATATGGTGGGCGGGAGCAAACAAATACTTAACTCCAAAATTCAAACATCGTATTCCTCCCGCCAATAGTTATGGTTAGTTGTACTAGTAGGTCGGCCTGGGCCCCACTAAAGCGTGATTATCGAGTGCTGAGTCAGCAAAACATTGTGTAAAATTATAAACCAGTAAACCCGCCAACTCAACAATTCATTTTATAAGTCAAATACCCAAAATAACCTCAATAATTCATTTCAGTTACTGAATTTATTTATTATTTTTTAACAAGTAACTTGCACAGTCATACTTTGAGAATTAGAAAGATATCAATGAATTACACAATTGTTGGTAATTGTATTCTTATCTAATATTTCTATAAAGCTTAGTAGAACTGAAATTAACACAAAAATGTTTTTTAACTGCTTATATACACATTGACATTGGGAAAAAAACTTTATTACATATTATATAATGTTGATATAATCCAGTCTTGTATGACAAAGACATGTTTGGAAAGGTGGTAAAAATAAATAAAAATCTTTCTTATTACAGAAAAATATATCAACAATTAATTTATTATCAGTCTTTTCCTTTATCATTTATTTTCAAAGTTTTCAATTACAATATTTAAGAAATTAATGTATATATTAAGCATATATTTGTATTGCCACATCCATTAAAAATATTAATCTATAATTTGTTTTGGATTTCTCCCCAAAACTATGCATATTAGGATAATCAAAACCCAACCTGTCCATGACAAGAATGGGATAAATGATGAATTTGTGAAGGAATTTTCCTTTATAAGACGGGTTTGGATCAGAGGTGACCCACCACAAACCTATTCTATTATTGCATCTTCAAAAATCATGGTTTATAGTATCGTTCGATATGCGATTCATATCGGTCTGATTTTGCCTGAGTCCGTTATACCGCAACCGTAACCGATACTGCGAACCATGTCAAAAACTCAATTATATTTTACAAAAAATCTACATACACATTTAACGAAAAAAAAAAAAAAAAACTAATCTATAAACACATTAACCAGAAAAAAAAAAACTACTAGTAAAAGAAATGAAAAAAATATTATTAATGCTAAAACCCTTTTGCTAAAAAGTAAAACAATTAATCAGCCGTCTCCTCGTGCACATTGTATGTGCCTATTATGCATAGAATATTTAAAAAAGAAAAAAAATACAAAGAACTACTTTTAAAAATATAAGATCACCAAGTTTGTTAGATAGAATATGATGGTTTTACATATTAAAATAAGACTTATTTTGAATTTTTTTATCATAAAAAATGGTTAATGATCAAATGAGGGTAATTTGGTAAGTCAAATTTTGCTACTACTTTTTAATAGGAAAACTTAAAAATTTGAATGTGGAGGGTGTTTTCGGTATTAGGAAATATGTAGAGAAAAGGCGGGAACACGAGGCCCCAAAATTGGAGCTTTTTATTCGACCCCAAGTTAGTGTGTGGTGTGGTGAGAGTCGTGAGACCATAACTCTGTGTTTTCTCTATCGACCTTTTCTTCTTGTCTTCAGAGCTTCTCTCTCTTCCTCGCCTAGCCCTTATCCGTTTGCTTCTCTCTTCAATCCTCTGCTCTTCTGCTATTATTCCACAACTTTGGTCTCTGATCTCTCAACTTTCACACTGCAAATCGAAGGTAGGTCAACTGATCTTCTTCTTCTTCTTTTATTTCTTTGTTCTTCGATTGGTTCTCAAGAATTGATTATTTGCTCGATTTTGGTTGATTTATGTGTTAGATCTCTGTTCGAAATGAGAATTGATGATTCGTTTTCAGCCTGTAATATGAATTCGTATGTTGTTTACTGCTTAATCGTTCTTGATTTTGTCAGAGTATGATTTCGTGTTGTTCTAGTTTACTTTAATTGAAATCAAATGTTGCTTTAATCTCTTCATTTGCAATTGTTACGTTATGTGCCTTTTCATGCTCTCTCTCTCATCTTGAAACAATTAATCGACTAATTAATGTGTTAATTGCTAATACAACAACAAAGAAATATACATGAAGAAGATCTGTTGTGTTCTATGTGGTTTGTTTTCCCTCTTAGATATTATTTATTTATTTATTAATTATTATTATTATTATTATTATTATTATTATTATTTTGGATTAGGGATTTGATAAGGTCGGTTTATTTTCTTTTCAAATCTGTTTGTTTCAAATTGATCTAAAGAATTGGACACTTTGGTTACTGGATGCTTAACTCTATGCTCATTTAATCACCTGAAAAAAGCAACCAATACTGCCATTAGATTGTGTCTGATGGTTATCATTCTTTCATACATCTGAGATTTTCAAAAGACTAGAAAATCTCTGTTTGTTTGATCTTGAAACATTTTGTGAAATTTATTTTTTTCTTTATTTTCAGGCGTTTAGATGTTTGTAAAATGTTTACACAAATTTTCTGCTCTCGCCTGTGTGCCTGCATGGTGTTTGGGTGGTAAAGCCTTCTTAAAACCGGTCATTTGCTAGTGGCATATGTAACACTTTGCTTAGATAATTAGATAAACCAAAAGAAGGCATAACTTAGCCCACTCAAACATTTGTTTGAATTTGTGAGATCAGGCATGTTTAGAAAAATTTGCACCCCAATTTGATAATGCCTTTTGTGTACATTTCAACTGTGACATGTGCATGATTGTATAGATTATGCTTATACCTGCAAGCAGACAAACATTCTGATTTCTGAACCAAGTAGTGGTGCCTGTGTATTAGCCTCTTGCAAACCCGGACGTATTGGTATACAAGCAGTCCCTAGGTGTATTATTTTGATTATATGTGTTTATAAGTTCTGCAATTTTAATGTGACATCTGGCAAGATTGAAGCAATGAAACAATGATATGGTCCTGATCAAGGGGATTGCATTGGTGAAATATCAAAGTATTTGGATGTTTAAAGGGCCTTAAAAGGTTCAGGCTTTGCCATAAATTTCTTCCAGGCAAATTTGAAAATATAGTTCATGCAAAACCAAATGATTTGTAACTTCTTACCATGTAAACTGCTTAAGCTGGTCCCATAACTACTGGATCTGGATACTACTATATTATATTAATATAAATGTATATAATAAAACCATATAAATGTTGGGGAGCCATGAGAAATACTATTCTAAAATTAACGAAGGCATTAATTATACATTTCTTCTCAGTTAATGGTCATACCTGTGTGCATTTCTACTTCTTATTTTCAGTTATATCTTTCCTGGGTGAAGTATATACAAGTGCAACTATTGTTTATAAGAAAACACTCTTGAGTGATGCAAACTTCTGATTGGAAGAGCATCTTGAATCAAAGTTATCTAAGATCATCCTTTGATTTTTCCTGCGGATAATCAAGAAGAAACATAACTTTTATTTTCATCATTAATCCTTTTAGAGTTTGTGTTTTTTCAGATTTCAAAAATCTGTTCATTACCTTTGGTGTACATGTCGTTTTCTGGTAAAAAATTGTATCATGGGAATAATCACATTGATAATTTAAATTATGATTGCCATTTTGAAAAGTTTGTTATGCAACTAAACTAAGCTATATGTTACTCTTTATAGGCTATTTCAGGTCAGTTTAAGTTCTAATATGAAGACTGTAGAGTTGAAGACATCACATTCACGGTGGTGGGACAGTTACATTAGTTCCAATAGTTCTAAATGGCTTGCAGAAAATCGTGGGGGTGAGCAGCTTAGTTTACAGTTTTATGTTGTTTATTATCTTCCATTGCCTAATAATATATTGCTGGTTTGCTGCATTCTTAGGTCTCATTTGATAATTTGATTGGCTATATTTCTTAGCTAGTTTGAGGGGATTGACACAAAAATAATGGCCTTTCAAATTTCCTAGATCACCACATTGTTACACCCAATTTTTGACTCTTTTTTTTTATTTTTTTTATTTTTTTAATACAGAGGTGGATCAGAGTGTTCAACATATGCGAAAGTTGATTGAAGAGGATGGAGATTCTTTTGCAAAGAAGGCTGAGATGTATTATGAGAAGAGGCCAGAGTTGGTTGCTCTTGTTGAGGAATTTTACCGAATGTATCAGGCATTGGCTGAGCGCTATGATCTTTTGACTGGAGAATTACGTAAGAACATTACATCTGTAATCCAAATGCAGAGTTCTGGCATTTCTGATCCCTTCTCTGACCAAGCCTCTCCATTTCTTACTCCTGAGAACAAGCTGGTTGTGCACAAGTCTGGTGATCCCTTCTCTGAACAAGGCTCACCATTTCTAACTGCTGATCACAGGTTCGTTGGGCACAAGTCTGGTCATCCCTTCTCTGACCAAGCCTCTCCATTTTATACTCCTGATCACAAGTTGGTCGGGCACAAGTCTGGACAGCAAGCTGTTGGTTTTGATTTATCTGTGAATTCTGGTGGCAGTAGCTCTGATCTTTCATTAAAGGGAAGTCCTCAATCTTCATCATCACCATCATCAGACTCTGATTCAGAATCTTTTAACTCATCTATAAACTATTCCGGACCACCTGTGAACAGTGATGACAGAGGGCTGCATGAAATATCTGTTGAACAGGAGATGGAGCTTCCAGGCATGGAGAAGGTCCAGGTGACCAAGGAAGAGAAGAAATATGGCATGTCAAAAGTAAGGGAAAGTGGGGGCTATGAAATGTTGCTTAGGCAAATCACTGAATACGAAGAAGAATTGAGAATTTCAAATAAAAAGCTTCAGTTTTCAGAAGAAGAGATTGTCAGGTTGAAGGATGAGCTAAAAAAGAATGAATCTGTGACTGTGCTAATGGATAATTTACGGGCTCAGCTGGACTCCACACAGAATGATATCACAATGAGAGAGGCAGACATTGAAATGGAAAAAGGAAGGGTGCTAGATTTACAAAAGCAAGTTGCTGACTTAGAAAAGAAGGTCTCAGACTCCAGTTGCAAGGTTGGGACATTGGTGGAAGAGCTGAAATTAACTAGAGAAAAGCTTAAGGATTCAGAAGAGGAGCTTTCAAAATTGAAGCATGGACTTTCCAATGAAATCTTTGAAGCGACTCATAAATTGCAAGGTCAGCTTGAATTAGCTCAGAAGGATGTAACTCTGTTGGAGGCCAAACTTGATGCAGAGAAAAGACAGGTTTTGGAGCTGGAGGAGAGAATTTTGAGCTACATAGCTGATGTATCAGACCGTGATCAAGAGATCAAGGACTTGATTGCTGCATTAGGCGATACTCGAATAAACTTCTCTCTAGAGAAAGCAAATTTCCAATCTGACATTTCTAGTTTGTCAGAGCAAATAGCTCTCTTATGGGCAAGAATTGAAGAACAGGAACTGCAAAAACAATCCTTGGAAAGTGAGCTCAGGCAACATGAAACTGATAAAATGGAAATGAAATGTCAGTATGAAGCCCAAGAGAGAGATTTGCAGGGTGACATTGAACGTTTAAAGAACGAACTCTATGGGAGAGGTGCATTTGTGGAAACCTTGAATAAAAATCTTGACGAACTTAAATTGAAATATGATATGCTAATGGCGGAGAAAGATGGGATCAATGCCAATTTACAGACACTCATCGCAGAAATGAATTCGCGAGACAAGCAGATGGAACAACTGGAGGGGAATCTGCATCAAATGCAGGTAAAATATGTGGACTTGGTTGCTGGATCTGAAAGTTCACGGAAGTTAGCAGATGAACTAAACTTGAAAGTGGTAGAGCTTGAGAAAGAGGTGGATAGGCAGAGTGTGGTGATCTCCGATAGGGCTGAGGAGAAGAAAGAGGCTATACGGCAGCTATGCTTTGCATTGGAGCATTACAGGAGTGGGTATAAAGAACTTCGCCAGGCATTCATTGGGCACAAGCAGCGTGCAGTTCTGGCATCGTAAGTTCATTCATTCCTACTGAGTTTGGAAAATTTGTATCAAATGTGTGTGAATCTTGGTGGACCCCTTTACATATATACTATAGTTGTGGACCTTTATCGCGTTTCTTTTTAGCTCATGATCACATCAGTTCAGATGGTGTTATGCCAGTGCTCAATCAATTTGGATGCTTCTGTAAGCACTAGATTGTGCAATTGATATATAATGTTCTTGAGAGGAACAAAATATAATAGTAGAACTGTATTTTGAATTTTGATCACTTGTTGCCGGCATATGGGCCATTCATAAGTTAGTTGATTTGCTTTACTTCTTAAGTTAGGCTATTTTTACTGGGAACCTTACATCTTGAGGCAAAGTTGTTAGTTGTGGCTTTTTCAAGTACCTAATTCACTCTCTCTCTATCTCTCCCCCTCTCTCTCCTCTTTTATTATTATTAACATACACCAAAACCATTGTAGGAGCTTGGTTCATTTATATCTAGTGAAGCCTTGTCCAGTAGGTTTTAAGTGCAAGTACCAAGTCAAAATATTGATAATGATGAGCCATTTAAAAGCAACTGCTTTTGCTTCATAATTTAGGTGATTCTCCAAGGTTTTTGTGAAAGAAACATGTCAAATACTGTAGGTGTTTATATTTATGAAACCACATTTGGAATGGCACTTTACCCTACTGAATGGGGTACACCCTAGAAAGTTGATCCTTTTCTTTGGTAATATGGTGTGTAAACTATTGCTTTCAGGAACTTGCTTTGAAACTTTTAGGAACTTAAAGAGCCTTTGTCTATGTATTTTTTACAAGTAGTATAAGAAGTCTAGAGCCCCATGAATGGAAGGCCTAAAACCCTTTGGGACAGTTATCTCATAGAGTTTCCAAGAAATTCAAGTTATATTAACAGTAAAAAAGATATGCAAATCCCAGAAACCCTGTTTTCACATAGTGCATTGAAAGCCCTTAAAAGTCCTAGTGGTTTGATAGTCAGACCCTGGACTCTCAAGAAAGTTCTCTTCCAACTTTGACCATCAGGGTCAACTTTAGAAATTCAAAGCTTCTTCCTCACGGATTGAATTAAATGTCTGACCATTGTTAATTACTACTATAAAGAAAATGATTTTCAATAATATATTACCTGTATCATCCCAGTATTTCTTATTGCTCATGGTTTGACTTCTTATTTTTGTAGTTAAATCATCCTCTATTCCTGGTCTTTCTTTCTTAGCACTCTATACATGTAAGACCAACATTGAGTAGTGATTTTCTTTTCTTTTTCTTGGATATGTAAGATCACAAATTTAGATCATCTCCGGTGCACTAAAAACGGTAAGGTTCAACAAGTTCAGTGCACGAGATGATCTAGATTCGTAAATTATTATTATTATTATTATTATTATTATTATTTTTTGTGGCCATGTGTTTTAACTTTGTTACAAATACGTGGTGTCTTTATTGACTGTTGTCTGATCCATGTAATTAAAACAATAATCAATACTGCTTTACTGATGGTGACAGTATATAATAACTTCATTGCTGATACAGTTGAAGGAATCTTTGGATTTTGTGATCGTTTTTTTTTTTTTTTGAATGGGGATTTTGTGATCGTTGATCAAGTCTTGCGAAGCTTCCACTCCAACGTGAATAAGATTAAATTATTTCATTTTTCATGATTTGGATTCCAAACTAGGCAACTAATTAATTTTTCATTAATCCATGAAAGTTCCATAAAAAACTACTCTTAATTGGACTTGACCCATAACAGAAATCAACAGATTCATTTATTTTAGGATAACTGGGTCTTTGGAAGAAGGTATTGGGTATGCTTGGCGTGTATATATTATGCACATAAAGACGTGTATTATGTTGTGCATGTAAGATTTAAATGAGTCGGTACACCATACACTGAGGCACCCAATATCTATTCGGTCTTTTAGTATGCTCGTTTTGGAGCCATCTCCATTCATGATTTTTATCACATAGCGCCACTCAGTTACATTCTAGGTACTTTAGTACAAGTTATCTTCTAATCAATACAAAGTGTTCGGAGAACATAGTCAATTTTTTTATTTTTTTTTATATTTTTTTATTTTCTTAATATTAATCAATCACTGGAGAACAAAAGTTCGGAAGAAAAAAGTTTTTCTTGTCAAAAGAACGAAAACACATTGGATATTCAATTGAGTCTACAAAGAGTTGATTTTAACATTGCCAAAGGGGATTTATTGAACCTGATAAAATATTTAGAAAAATGTTTTGTTGGGTTAAATTGTATTTAACAAACTACTTGCAATACTGTACATTTTATATTGATTTCGATAAATTTTATGCAAAAATTGATATATTAACATTAGTATAATATGAAAGGGTAAATTACATAGACATCCTTTGAGGTTAGGTCATTTTTTTGTCCGATGAAAATTTTGATTTTAATTTTCACTTGTACTCCAATTTACTTTTAGGCCTCCAACACACATGCGAATGGTCTTAAATGACAAAATGACCATATATATATATACACACCTACTGTCTGTCTGTGCATGTAAGGATTTGAAGAGCATTAATTTCGTCTTCGCTTGCCTAATAAAAAGTAGATAGAATTCCTTCCTGAATTTATCGAGTGTATTACAATTTGGTACAACTGCATAAATTTTAACTAATTATACATGTTTTGGTTTATAATTATTACTCTTAACAAACCTCAAATTTAATTTCTTTTCTTCCTAGCCAAAATCAACCCTTGAAATTGGTGGATTTGCAACTATATATCGTTGACCATGGCTCCATGGATTCCACTGCAACGACCACCATAACCATTATGCGTAATTCGGTAAATGAAGCACCACCACCACCGTCTCTACCCCAAAACCATCATTACCACTGTTTATCCTGGCCAATGTGTTGGGATTTATATGCCCTGGCATAGCAAATTCCTGTTTGGATTAATTGACATATGTTCCTGACGTTTCTGAAATATTTATGTTTTATACAATTGGTGAATTTAATGTATTATATTTCGATTCACTATGAAATTGATAGTGTCCATGTAATTACAAGAAATATTTATATATATGTATGTGATGGCAATCAATGCATGATATATAAATAGTAATTATAAATTGTTCATAGTCGGTAATTATGGATGGACTCATAATTAATTAAGACTTGAACTGGATCCGCGTTAGGTTGAGATATATTGCGAGAGCCGTCGTATGCAATTACTCCCTATCACCGTCATGGTATTTGACTCTTAAGTATGAGAAAAGTATAGACTCTTTTATTAATTAATAATTACTTTGATTTGTTCGGCGGATTCTTCGGGATCCTTAGACCGACACTTTGGGTAGTTATGTAATTAATAGTTAGAGGGTTATATTTTCAATATTTGCATCATTGCTACTTGTATTTATTTTGTTTTGATTATGGTTGATCACAAAGTAAATTCGAAGGCCTTCGTATGATTTTAGACAAAATGATTTATTATATATATTTATTTATTAAATTATTATTTTTGTCAAACAAATATTTTATTGTGATCGAGCCAGAAATAATCAAAGGTATCAAAATAAATATATTAATTAAGTAGTCGGATTGATGGCTATATTTATCCGATAACTAATTATGCATAGAGGGGTCAAAGTGTAATATTGACTTAGAGGTTATTTATTATTTAATTGGAGTTCAATTAATTTCTTTTAGTGGAGTAGAAATTAATTTATGAATTAATTTAATTGGGTCCATGGACCGGGCCAATCATTAATTCATTGTAGCCAATAAAATAATAGGCCCAATGGATTCTCACTCATAGCCCAACTTGATATTGGAATCATATTAGATTTGAGACATGTGAATTAGAGATTGAGAAGGATTATTTGTTTCCTTTTCTTTATTTTTATGTTGCCTATAAATATACATGGTCTATGTATATTTGGTGGGGGTGATTTTTAGTAGAAGGAAAAAGGAATAAATATTTTCTCTCTCTAGAAAATTAGGGTTTATGTTCTCATCTAATGGAGGCTCCCACAAGCCTAATTTTTCAAGGTCATTCATGGAGGCTTATGAGTGATTCCTAAAGGCAAAACAATTACCAAGAAGATGGAGATCCATGGGAAAGGTGTCTAGCAAAAGGGATCTATAATAAGTGAGAACATTCACTTTAGAGGAGAGATTTAAGGTTTACTCAAACCTTGATGTAAGTATTCAATCTTTTAATTGAATGATTGATCATATTTTATTTTTGCATAAAACTTGTCTCTATGTGATGAATCAAGATTTGTGAAAGAAAATTCCTCGAAAAGTTTTTAAAACTTGCACGTTTCCCAACACAATGAACCCTCAACAGACCTCTGCACTCCTTCCTAACATTTAAAACTCCCTCATACCATCTTTGTATCCCAATTTATCACTGATCATAATTCATTCGCAAACTATAACCCTAACACTGAATCAATCTGAGATATAACCCTAACATTGAATCAATCTCAGTCAGCCTATGAGGAAAAGGTGTTTGGGGATCATAGAGACGCACAAAGATATCATGATTATAGGGATTATGATTTTCTTCCTAGAAGTTTTGATGGTCTCTTTCATGTTGAAGATTTTTTAGATTGGCTAAAAGATAAGAAGGTGGCACTAGTCGCATACAAATTGAAGGGAAGGGTTTGCGATTATGAACAGGATGAACACGATCTACGTCGTTGCGCAACCTATTGTTATCGCGATTCTGCTCTAGACCCAACTTAAGCCTAACAATCTTTGCTTGAATATCTTGTAACGTTTGCTGGGTTTCACGTTGATAGTCTTGAAATTCGGCTCTAAAAGGAGCCACTCTTTATCGATCTTCATCGCCAGCGAGGTTGCTACAAAAACGATCACCTGCCATCAGACCAGGAAAAAACCTTGCTCTGATACCAAATGACGTAAGCGGAAGCGATAAATTTGTTCACGAAAAACAGGTTACCTTAAATCCACAAGGTGTGTGTTTTGAATCCACAAAACAGAAAGAGAATTTAGAGAAATCTAATATTTTAATTGTAATTGCAGAGATCATTGTCAAAAGAGGAGAGGATTCCGAAGCCCAGATGCTGATCAAGAAATTGGTTAGGATTTTGAGAAAGAGAAAGAGAGAGAGTGAGTCAGAGAGGGTTGGGAGGTGAATCGAAGAGATTAGGTGAGTTAGGTCTTGAGATCGATGTTGGTTGGGAGGCGAATTAGAAAGGGTAGGAGGTCAACAAGTTGAGTGTTGCTGCCTACAGCTCTTTAACCT